GAGGTAAGAGTTTCACGGACTTTCTTGCTGTGTCTGGCTTTGAACCGTGATCCTCAGATCTCAGCCTCCTGAGTAGCTAGGATGACAGGCGTGAGCCACCAGTGCCCAGCATTTAAATGGTTCTCTGGAGGCAATATGGGGACTTTTTTGCATCTTGATTGCCTGATAACTATTAGAAATGCCTCTTCTAGGACTGGGAAGGTGGCTCAGTGGTAGAGCGCTTGCCTTGCATGCTCGAGGCCCTGGGTTCGATTCCTCAGCACCACATAAGCAAAAAGAAAAAAGCCGGAAGTGGCGCTGTGGCTCAAGTGGTAGAGCACTAGCCTTGAGCTGAAGAGCTGAGGGACAGTGCCCAGGCCCAGAGTTCAAGCCCCACGACCGGACCAAAAAAAAAGAAATGCCTCTTCTAAGCCGGGCACCGGTGGCTCACGTCTGTCATCCTAGCTACTCAGGAGGCTGAGATCTGAGGATCACGGTTCAAAGCCAGCCCGGGCAGAAAAGTCCATGAGACTCTTATCTTCAATTAACCACTAGAAAACCGGAAGTGGTTCTGTGGCTCAAGCAGTAGAGTGCTTGCCTTGAGCTGAAGAGCCCAGGGATAGCGCCCAAGCCCAGAGTTCAAGCCCCACAACCAACAACAACAACAAAAAAGAACCATTTAAATATCCTGCTGTTTTTGTGACCCACGCTGATTTGGGAAGCAATTCCTACCCCTTCATGATGACTCTAAGAAGAGACAACCACTTAGAGATTTATACAACTCTTTGCCAATGATGATAATCCTCCACAGAATAATATGGAAATCCACCATTTATGGTTCCACGAATACCTACCACCAAGTTCACTTTTGTGGAAAACTCAAACTTGTTTTAAAAAAAAAGAAAAGAAAAGAAAAAGCCTGCATTCACTCAGTACCCCACACTGTGTGTTAACAATTGAAAGCAGCAGTGGTAAGTGGTATCCCCAGGTAATGATTTTTTGCAATGATTTCAAATACACTTCCTCTGTCATTTCCCTGAATAGGAACATTTTTCTAACTTCCTTTGGACTCTACCTGTTGACTCATGTGAAACTGTACAAGTGAATGCTCTATTGCATACCTATATGAATTAAGATTTTATACTGAACAATTTTTTAAAAGATGAAAGCAAAATAATGGCAAGATTATACTGTGATTCTTGTCCCCAATTTTCATTTTGCATTTATCAGTTGAATGGCTTTACAAGAAAATGCTACAATTAATGTCACCTTGCAGATGACTCGTGCAACCTTGAAAACAAACTGACATGAACCCTTCTTTTCTGCCCAAAAGCAACATGGCAACATTTGAAGAAAAAAATGCCAGAAATGAAAATGCTAACTGCATATGAAGTTACAGGTTTCCATATTCAAAGAGTGTGCTTAAGTCAAACAAGATTAAAATTGGATTCAATGCTAAGAAAACTGCAGTACATCCAAAGCTTTTATCTACAACATAACAGCAAAATCTGGAAACCCTAGGCAAAGTAAAAGCCCATTTTCTTCTATGAACACCCCTGTAACTTTCTTGCCTGTACCTCCTCCCCAGTAAACTCAACTGTTACAGAAGCTAACGTGGAATCACTTGAGTTTGCTGAAGAGCTTTCTCTCCTCTCTACCTCTCAGAAGAAATTCCAAATGTCACAGAAGCTAAACTCTAGGAACAGAAGAAGCCATGTAGGAGTATTGGAAACAATTAGGATATTATTTTAGGTCTGAATGCAACCAATGCATACTTAAGAACTGCATTTTTACTACTTTTCTAGTGATCATTCTAAACGGTGAAGTTAATCTCCTGGTCTCATCGAAGTGACAAAGCAAAAAACTGTAAAGTATCCATAAAACTACTTAAGACTTTTTAAAAAGCTGTATGACTACTGTGAACATACTGTAAGTTTTAGATCAAGAAAAAGGAGGAGGAGGAGGTGGGGGTGGTTGACCACCACCACCACGATCAAATAATCAAGGCTGAGCAGTACAAGCTTAAGGCAAGAGAAGGGAGCAAATGAATGTGTTAATTTAACTGCAAAATAATAACAGGATGTAACCAAGTTCGCAGTATCCAAAGTGACCAATCAGACCCTAAACATAGCTGAATTCCATCCCGGCCCCAGCACGTCCCTAACACAAGAATAAAACCCTTCTTATCTTGTTCAGCCATGTGTCGCCTGCCACAAACTGCAAAACAGAACAACGCCCAAAACCAGCTAAGTCTGATTTCAACTGAGGACAGGCTCTGTAGTCAGAAGCACCACAATGAAAGAACTCCAGTTCACACAGCTGGCCTAGTGGCTTTGCACTCTACAGAACAAAGCCATACCACATACAGTACTTCAAACTTGAAAGGATCTCTAAAAAGCTACTCTAGCACCATTAATTTGCCAATAGCCTTACATTCAGAAAAATATACCTACTGTGAAATGGAGTTACACATGGGAAGAAAGATGAGTAGGGAGGGCTGAGAGGAAGCTAGAAATTATCCTAGAAATTATATCCTAACACTCATAACCCTGTTAAGGCACACTGGTATGGAAATACTAAACCAGTACTTCCAGATTGCACCTCAACATATACTCACATCAGGAACTACTCTTAAAGAGAAATAGCTACTTTACAGAAAAGAAATGTTTAAAGAAAAATGATCCTCATAAAAATAAAAAATAAAAACCAGGGTTTGGGATCATGGCTCAAGTACAGTACCTGCCTAGCAAACATGGAGCTCTGAGTTCAAGCTAGCTCCATCACTGCCAAAAAATAAAAACTGAAAACATAACAATAATAAATTCCTAAGAAACAGATCTCAACAAAATTAAGTGACTTCTCTTTAACTTTCATTAGGGGAGGAGGGAAGGAAGGAAGGAAGAAGGAAGGGAGGAAGGGAGGGAGGGAGGAGAAATGGGAAGAGAGAGAGGGGGAGGGGGAGAGAGAGGGAGAGGAGGACAGAGAGCGAGAGAGAGGGAGAGAGAGAGAGAGAGGAGTTAGACAGCATCTGAACCAATCCAAAAATATTAACCCCCAGTGCATTTTGCTGCTCAATCGTTCAATCAATGCTTGATGATGAGCAGGTTCTCTAATGCCTTTTTATTTGGTGGTCTTGCTTTAAATGGAATAGTTGCCTAATGTAACTAGGTAGAGGTTTCAACTGAGAAATTATCTTTTCAGCCTTACCCCACAAGATATTATTATAAACATTTAGTCAAACTGATTCCCTTCACCAATGTGAACTACTTTTTCCCAGCGTTAAAAGCCACTATACAATACCTGATTTCATATAATGTACATTTACTGCTGTTGCATAAATATACAAATAAATCAAAGCCATTTTTCTTTTGGGGGGGCAGGCTTTCAATAATCACATTTTTATGCTAAACCATAAAAAGACTCAAATCTAAGTATTTTATTCCAATAGAAAGAAGAAGAAAATCCCTGAAATGCACAGCTGGAGAAAATCATTATTCAGATCTGAAAAGTCACATAGTGACTTTTGTGTGGAGTGAGCTGGTGCCCCTCACTTCTGTATGGTAAATCCCAGCATTTCAATGAAAATCAACACATCAGTTCCTAGGCAAGATTTCTTGCCTACAGGTTCAAGGGCACAAACTGAACAACCAGCAAAACCCTTGAAAGTGACTAATCAGGAGCCAAAGACCCTGAACAGAAAAAGAGGAGAGATGGGGAGGGGAACAAGGAAAGCACTGTATGACTCATGTGACATAGATCTTCAGAGAAGTTAAAAATCAGCTCACTGGAAATGAACAGCCATTTCACAAAGTGTGTAAATAAAGGGTGAACATAAATCGTTTAAATATTTAATGGAATATTTTAGGTGAACACTCATGTGACACTGGAAAGCATCAACAGGAAGAGGAAGTTCTGCTTCTAAAGTAGCTGTTATGCTATGATAATGGAATTTGGCCCTTTTAAAATCAACAGTCTTTCACTTGGGTGAAACTCTCTTATTTGGAAATTAAGCTACTTTCCAAAGGAGCGCTTCTAGACTTTTCTTCAAAGGGCTTTGGCCTTGAAATTCAATTATTTGAGCTGAGTTCTTTTTTTTTTAATGATCTAATAGTTTGAATGTTGACTTAATGTTAGCTGCCTAAAATTAGGGCCTAACATGCAGCATCACGATTAAATTGAGAAATAAAGTGTGCTATAGAAACCATTACCCCTTTGCCACTTAAACCTATTCAATCGAATTAAGGAGAGGAAGGGAATCTACTTGTGGAGGCTGGAGGGGCTCCAAAGGCCCATGAACATACATCGCCATGCCCGGCTGACTATCAAACCTTCCACCTGTCTTGCTTGAACCACTCTTACGGCTCCCGTCCCCTAAATGCCAGTGTTTCTGAAGGATGAAATATTAAAATAGCATCATTAAAAGCAAGCAAGCTCTGATTTCCCCTCATTTCTTTCAGCTCCTGGAGACGGCCTGCAGCAAGAGCCTGTGATTTACTGGTAATGTCAACATTCGGGAAAATTATTAGATAATTAATAGACACTGTGCAGGTCAACACTTAACCGGGGAGATCAAATTCACAAAGCACCGAGCAGCAGCAGCAGGCTGAAACTTAAGTTCACAGACAGCAATCTCTGCAGTGTTCTCTAGAGAGAACTATCGCAGGCCAGGAGGCAGCCCGCTGACACCCCGAAACCCACAAGACCAACTCAGCCACTGACCTTCACCCAAAATGACCTTCCCCAAGTCGAGTTACTTGGCCCTAATTCGCATTTGCAGACTGCACCCCACAATCGTGTTTTTTCCCTATCTCTTCTCTGAAAACAGGGGCAACTTTTTTGGGAAGGAAAAAAAAACAAAAACCAAAAAGCAGCAGCAGCAGCAGCAAAACCACAGTTTCCAAACTGAAGCCCACCAGGTACCTTGGCACCCCGGTTCCTGAGGCCTGTCAATGTCGCTGGGCGATCCGGCTGGGCAGGACCCAGCCGGCGGGGGGGGGGGTAAGGGGGGACTTCGTACCCACCTGTCGGTGATAGTAGACTGTGTGCCACTCATTGGGGCCCTGGGCGCGAGGTCCTCCTCCTATCCAACTTGCATTTTACAGCAGCACCCCCACCCCACCCCCAGTCCTCTGGGATCAGGCCCAATTCCGGCAGGGACACAAAAGTCCAGCTCAAAACTCCATTCGGTCATCTAGAACATCCGACTGGAAAGGGGGGGCAAAGAAAGGGGGTGCGGGTGGAAGCGGGGCGAGCGCTCTCCCCCTCCCAAAACAACACGGAGAGTCAGCCGGAAGGAGAGCTCCGGAGCTGGCGCCGAGTCCTCCCGGGGAGAAAGAAGCCTCGGTGGCGGAGGGAGCCTGCGAGTCGCGGGGCCGGGGCCGGGGCCGGGCCGGCGGGG